CGAGTCTCCCCGCAGGCTCCGCCCCTCGCCCCGCCCCGCGCGGCACGCCGGGAAGCGCGCGCTCCCCCTCGCGGGCTCCGCCCCTGCCCCGCCCCCAGGGGAGTACACGTGGTGTGGGAGTGTTGCGGAGGGGGCTGGCCCAAGCCGGGGCTGAGCTGTGATTTGTAGCCCTCTGGAAGCTTACAGTCTAGCCAAGATTCACGCCCAGTGAGTGTTCAGCGGGATGAATAGTGTGCATCCACTTGTGTGCCCCTACTTTCACCGTCATTTAACGCTGCATCTGGCGGTAGGAGCTTAATTCATGCACCAAACCTGTTTCATAAGCGCATTTAATTTTAGCAAATTCAACTCTTTCCTGTGCCTTTTTAATGAATTAAAATACGTAATTATATTTTGCATGTGCATTAATTACTGTACACATTATAATTTTTCCTTATATATATTAAGCTACTATACTAATATTAATATGTTACTGTGTATGGACTACTTAAGAGATTTTTCAAGGTTTACTGTGCCCGCACTTTTCCTCTTAGGAGTATTTTAGAAGTCTTTGCCCACTTCCTCCTCCCACCCTTTGTACAGTCTCTGTCCACAGTAGGTCCACGATTAATCTTACTGAATGGAAATGGCCTCGTCCCAACTACCTCTGCTCCAGTCCCTAACAGTATGATGGGTACTGCTTCTCCTGCGTTGTACAAATAGGAAAAGGCTGGGGGCACCTGCAGAGTTGACACCCTGGTGTGCCTGCCTGCTCTTCTTTTCCCTCACTCCTGGCCAGCTCCCAAGTCTGGATCCACCCTCTTTTTCCATTTGCTTCAAAGAATAAAAGCAAGGACAGCGTGAGGAAACGATAAATGTTAATTTCTGTCTTTTCCTCACTGCATATCCAACCATCATCACCACTGAAACATAGCCCAAACCTGAGCACTTTTACTACCCCCTCTGGCACCACCATCATCTCTCCATCCTCAACCACCTCAGTAGTTATGTCTCTGGTCTTACTGCTTCCACTCTTGCTCCCTGTTATGGACATTGGCAGCTACCCACCCTACTACCTCTGGTTCAGGTCGTCAATCCTAAACCACATAGTCCTGTGCCTGTGAGAAGCTGACCCAGTCTTGGCTCCAGACTAAGGGTAACGCATTTCCCTATAATTGTTTGGTTCAGGAATGGGTACGTGAGGACACACAAATAGGTTTCCTGGAAGCATCTGAGAAAGTTCTTCCTCATTCTTTGGAAGTGCTTCCATAAAGTTATCCCCATGGTCTGGAAATACAAAGCAGGTAGCCAGTGTGTTTCAGGCAGCCCTCCTAGACCACTTAGACACGTCTTAGGCTCAGAATGAAGTTCAGTCTATGCCCAGCGGAGCAGAGAGAGAAAACCTGTGTCCTTGACTTCATCACAGAGCTTGATTCAGTGCTGAATCAACCAACTCTGAAGTCTGCATTACTTCTGGACTTCCAGCTTAAAAGGCAAGTAAATTTTCTGCCTGAGAAGGCAGTTTGCATCAGGTTTTCTGTCACTAGCAGCCAGAGACATCTGATTCACATACCCCCAATCTGTTATCCACTCAGCAGCCTGAGTGAGCTTTTTAAAAAGTAATCAGATCATATCACTCTCCCTTTTAGAGCCCCCAATAGCTTCCAATTAGAATCAAAACATGATGCCCCAGTAGAATTCTGCATTATCTGACACTCCTTCCCTACCTCCTTGTAAGCCCCCTGTCACTCACACCAACCACATCAATTTCTCTCTTCTTCAGACACTCCAGACTAATCCTGCATTAGGGTCTTTGCACTTGTTGATCGTGCTGCCTGCAATACTTTTCCCAGATCTTTGTTTGGGTTTTTTTGTTTGGTTGGTTGCGTTTTTTTTGTTTGTTTGTTTGTTTGTTTGTTTGTTTGTTTGCAATTGGCTGGTAAGGGGATCTGAACCCTTGACCTTGGTGTTACCAGCATCATGCTCTCCCAAGTGAGCTGACTGGCCAGCACTCAGATCTTTGCATGATTGATTCCCTCGCATTATTCAGGCCTCAGTTCAAATAAAGAGGCTTCCCTGATATACTGTCCACAGAAGCCCTTTCCATCTCCTACAAGCATTCACCATCACCTCACTTTTTAAATTTTCTTCATAGCACTTACCACTCTTTAAAAGGATTGATTTCACCTGTTCCCATACTAGTTATCATCTCTCTACACTTGAATGTCAGTTCCATGAGGGCAGGGACTTAGTAGACATTCAATAAACATTTGCTGCTTCCTTCTATTAGACCCCAGAACCTGGCCTTATAGTGCTGCCCCAGCCCTTTCCAGGTCTCAGCTCTGTGGCCTTCCCACTAAGTGCAAAACACATACCAACCAAATGTTCAGGGGAGCCTATTTGAACAGCAGAAAGCAGACTAGCCTGTGTCGAAATGTTTCCTGTTTAAAATAAGAATGTCAGATGGGGCAGCAAAAGGACTTGAACTTTAAACCCAGACAGAACCAGGTTCTAGCTCCATCTCTACCACTTATCTGCTGGGAAGCCTTAGGCAAGAAACAACCTTCCTCTGAATTTCATTCACCTGTATAACAGGGTTAGAACAGTACCTGCCTCAGGGTTTTCCTGAAGAGTAAAGGCAATCATAAATGTAAAAGCTGACAGATAATGGCTCCATCCTTCTAAACTCCTTCAAATCTTAACCATTTATTCAGGGGAACATCAGCTACCCCAAAACAACATTAATAAAACAAAGTTAAATTTCAGTGAATATTAGTTAACCCCCTTCCACATGCCAGGACCTCCACCGGGCATGAGGGACAAGAGGTGGCCAAGGCAAGCACCAGCCCTGTCCATGGATCTTGGAGTCAACAGAGGACCACATACCTTAGATGACGTGCTTACAATCCCATGGGAGACTCATTTTTACCCCCACATCGAGAGGATAATCCCCTCCATGAAACTCTCGTAACACCTTATCTGCACATCCTTAGGGACATTGCTGATTACTTTATTCCTTGTAGTAAGTGGTTTTGGTGTATGTGTCAGCCTCTCCCCCAAGAGTGGAGATGAAGTCTTCCTCAAAGCTGTAAAATCCATAGCACTAAGCATGGAGCCTGGAACAGTTTGTTACCAGCCATCGGATGGCAGAGAGTGTATGTGTCAGCCTCTCCCCCAAGAGTGGAGATGAAGTCTTCCTCAAAGCTGTGAAATCCATAGCACTAAGCATGGAGCCTGGAACAGTTTGTTACCAGCCATCGGATGGCAGAGACAGAAAATCAACTTAAAGTGACTTATGCGGGAAAAAAAAAGGGAGGGGGGTCAAGAGGACATCATGCAAAATGACAGTCTCTACGGGTCAGTCCCTCCACTAAACCATTAACTGGAGAAAAAAAAAAAAACCCACGAACTTCAGAATCAACTATTTTGAAACTCTTGAACCTCCTCTCACACTTATAAACAATGAAGGGAGAGTCTAATGAAGGAAGAGTCTGCTAATTGTTGGGAAGAGAACAGCAAGATGGACACAAACCACTGTCATGCCCTATTGCTCAGTTCCCACCCCCCATGGGGCTGCAGGAATAGCATTCCTGGACTGGGGCCAAGATTGGCAGTAGATCTTTGTCCTCCAAAAATTTGTGTTGTGTATTTTGTTTGGTCCAGTGGTTCCCTGAGGGACTGGTGCAGACTCCTGTCCTGGTTTTGGCCCTCTCCAGCTTCCCCTGGCATTATCTATCTAAAGGAACAGAATACAAAAACAAGAGGAAATCAATGAAACCAAAAGGTGATTCTTTGAAAAGATCAACAAAATTGACTAAAAAAATAAAGAGAGAGGACTCAAATTGAAATCAGAAATAAAAGTGGGACAATACTACCTATTTTGCAGAAATAAATTGTATTATAGGAGAATCTATGAACAATTGTACTCCAAAAAACTGGATACCTAGATGAAATGGATGAATTCCTAGAAAAACATAAACTATCAAAATTGACTCAAGAATAAATAGAAAATCTGAATAGA